TTCGGTGCTCGGGTTGGCGCCAGTTCGAGGTCGAGGCGCGCAGCGACTGGGGCATCGCGAAGTTGCGCGCCAGCGGGGACAAGAACACGCGCGCAGCCAAGCTTGAGATCACATGTCACAAAGCCAAGAATACCCTGTCCAGCACGCTGGGCGACACATTCCGCACCATCTTCGACCGCGAGCGCGGGTGGCTGTCGGCGGGGTGGGACCTGTTGCTCAAGCTGGAGGCGCACGAGGGTCGCGCCCCGACGCAGGTCGAGCGGTGCGCCGCGACGCTCGGCAAGCTGGGCCTCGACGAGCAGCTGCTCGCGAACGCGATCAGCGGTGCTGTGGGGCCTGGCCAGGGGCATTTTGTGGTGTCTGCAGCAGGTCCGCACGCATTTCTGCGGCCACTTCTCTCTGCCCTCTCCGAGGGGCGCGGAGGCGCTCGGTGCAGAGTTCTAAGTTCTGAAATTCTGAATTGTCGAATTGTTAAAGCTTGAAGTTTTGAATTTTAATTTTTGAAATCGAAGTTTCAATTTTGGATGCGCGCTCGGGTGAAGCTGGAGTGCATGGAGCGCCTGTCCCGGAGCTCTCCGATTGCTGCGTTCCAGGAGGTCCGGCGCGATGGGCTCCAGATCTCTCTGGTCCGTTCCAGAAGACCCCCCCCCCGGGGCCCCATCTGTTCGCGCCTCTGCGCGCTGGGCGCATTCGAGGCAGGGTGGCCGCGGCATTTCCTGGCGTCATCAAGGATGGCCAGCCCTCTTCCCCAAGACGGTGTCTCCGCCCCCCCGCCCCCGCGCCCCTGGCCGACTTTTGAGGGTTTGCTTTTCAGACGGTGAAACCACCCTCATTCATTGGTATGTTCACAGTCACGATTTAACGCCAGCTGAAATTCGGGATGCGCGCGGCGCGATTTCCTAGGATCGCGCGTTGTCCGAGGCCCCCCCGGACACGATGCAGTGGCAGCGCGCGGCGATGTCGCAGCCATCCGAGGCCCAGTGGGTCCACAGGCCCTTGCAGGCGAGAGCCCCTGTTTGTGCCCCGCAATCGATTCCCTCGTCGAGATAACATCCGCAGCGGCGGCTCACAATAATGCCAAGGCTGACGCAGCGGATGCGATCGATTCTGGCGCTCGTGGCCTGGCATGGCTCCGGCACAGATGATCATCGCCGCGCGTGTGGAGGTCGACCCAGAGACCCTCTCGCAAAAGAACTTAGGTGATTCTGCTGCTCACTTTTGTTCTTTGCCGCCAACGTTGCCCGCCGGCTGCTGATGACAGGCCGATTCCGGAACATCACGTCTAAGGAGTTGCAGGAGGTCTTGGGGGCATCATTGGACGCTGAGAAACTCCGTGCGCATAGCATGAGATCTGCGCCGAGACTTGAGATTCACAGATTGGTTGTCAGAGGCCATCCGCGAGGCGCGGGGTCAGTCGCCTTCTCTTCCGCTGCCCGCTCGATCCCCGCGCGCATGAATTTGTTGCCAGTGCTATTGCGCGCGAAGTCTGGAGACGATGCCCGGGCTGCGGAGCAGCTCCTGGGGTCTCGTCGCGGCCGACCTTCTAGAGGCATCTGGCTCCTGGTTGAGTCGTCGTGCGCGGCGCGATTCATGCGGCGCGGTTATTTGCGACAGCTCCACGCCTCGCGACCGCGCGCGGCCGCGTGCTCGGCTTGAACGGGGGGGGGAGGAGGGGGCCCTGACTGAGGAGGGATATCGGCCATTCGGATTCGGGGGAGGACACCAGCTTGTGAACGGAAGGCTCGGATCCGGGCCCCACTCCCTCGTCGTCTCGCGATTCGGGGCGTTCCGGTCGATGGCGCACCTGCGGCTGGCCCAGGGGCTTGGCGCCAAGCGCTGGGAGACCATTGGGGGAACTTCTTCGGGGGGAAGCCCTGGGCCCAGGGCGGCGCTGCAAAATGCGTTGGCAAGTCCGCCCAGCCCGTCGGTTTCTCTAACTGCGCCCCCCCCCCCCCCCCCCTGATCACGCGCATGATGAAGAAGGTTTAGGCGCGAGCCTCCCACTCGGCGCCAGGTTGCGACCGTCTATGTTGCGCAACATGGGCGGCCAACCCGCGCGGAGTGGGGCCCCTGAGCGATGCTATGCTCGACGCGTTGTGACGTTTCGCTCCGCGTGCGAGCGGGGGTAAAACACTCCAGCCTCTCGGCCGCATGGAGAATGCGACGGTGACGCACGGGCAGGGGGAGGTGCGCGAGATGTCAATGCTGCCAGGGTCCTGGGTCTCAGGAACACAAGCTATGAGGTCATCGCCGGGGCTGTCAGTCATGCGATTCGGAAGCTTCATGAGAGGCCGCAACTTCGCGCTGAATATCGTCGAGGTTGATGCTGTTGCCCGCGTGCTCGCGCCGCCCTGAAGCCGATGAGGGGTGCCCCACGCTGCGCGCCCTGGATCATAGACGTGCGTTTCCGAGTTCTTCACAGCAGTCTATGTCCTCGGTGCTGCGACGCATGGGCTGCCCTGCTGCTCTCCTCATGTTCGTCGATATCCTTCCCTTTTGCAATCCATGGGGCCATGCCGTGTCGGGGTGAATGTAGCGTGCTTTTTTTGATTCACTCTGGCAGTATCCAGGGGGGTGCGTCATCGGGGTCGCTCCGAGGTGCCGCTCTCGCTCCGACCCCGTTCGACTGGTTCGTCTCGACCGAGTCCGTGGAGGCGGTTTTGAAGGGGTCCTCAGGAAACCCCAGGGGCCGCGCACTCTTGCTCGCAGCATGCGCGTCTCGGGGCTTGTAGAACATCAGAGTGAGGGGGCCGAACGGTCATCCAGTGTCCCTGGGCGCGCGGCTGAAGTGGAATTCCGCGGTGCGGATTGTTGTTGTTGTTGTTGTTGAACATTATTTATTCTAAAGAATAATTATTGTTGGGCCCCCTGGTGCGCGCCCCCCCTGCGCCGCCTAGGCCGCAGCTACATTTTCATCATTTTCGTGAGGAAGCCTCAGAAAAGAGGGTGTGTACAGGATCCGGTTGTTTTGTTGTAATCCGCTTTCCCTTGCAAAAAACAATAGAAAATGACATTTCTTGTTCTAATATAATCAAATTTCAAGAATCCCTTGCAAAAAATAAGGTAAAGTGGACATTCGCGCGCGCAAGACGAAATCCTTCCAAAACCTTAGTGTTCGCAGCGATTTTAACATAAAAACATCAAAAAACCAATGGTTTTTCAACAAAAAATTGTCAAAATCTCATCCCGCGCGCTCTTGCGGATTCGTAGGAAACCCAACACTTTTTAAACATTTCTGTCAAACGGGCTTTTGCGAGCAACTTTTTCGAACTTCTGCGACAACGGTTGCGCACCTGCCAGGGCCATCATCCCTGTCAAATAATACCATGCGGGACACATTCGTTTTTTCTTCGCGCGCGCACGCCGTCGTCGTCGGCCGCGGGGCCCTGAATAGTAGCCACGGTCGTCCGCATGCCACGAAGTGAAGTGTCCGAACGTCATAGGGCGGGAAGCTGGGTGTGGGTGGTGGCGAAGAGTCGTTTGGAAATTTGGTAGAGCTTGAAACGGCCCCCCCACAAAGTGGGGGCATTGCCCGCCTCCTATGAAAACCCTGGCACTGGTGAGAACGGAGTGTCCCCACGTGCTAGTAATTGTTGTTGTTGTTGTTGTTGTTGTTGTTGTTGTTGTTGTTGTTGGTTGTTGGTTGTTGTTGTTGTTGTTTGTTTGTTTGTTTGTTTGTTTGTTTGTTTGGCGTCGCCCCCCCCGTGGCCCCCCTCGTGACCCACCCCGCGACCCGCCCCGCGACTCACCCCACGACCCACCCGCGACCCACCCCGCGATCCCCCCACGACCCACCCGCGACCCACTCCGGACCCCGCGCCCGCGACCCACGTCACGCCCCGCTGCGTCACCCACCTGCGACCGACCCGCGACCCACCCCGCGACCCACCCGCGATCCACCCGCGACCCACCCCGCGCACATTGCAATTTTACAAATCGGCGCCTGCGGCGGGCGGCTTGGCATTCGCTCGCGACCCCCGACCCGCCACCCACCCCGCGACCCACCCGCGACCCACCGCGACCACCCCGCGCACGTTGCAATTTCAAAATCGGCGCCTGCGGCGGGCTGTTTTGCGTTTGCTCACGACCCCCGGCCCGCGACCGACCCCGCGACCCACCGCGACCACACCGCGCACATTGCAATTTCAAAATCGGCGCCTGCGGCGGGCTGTTTATGCGTTTGCTCACGGCCCCCGACAGACCATCCGCGACCCACCCGCGATCATCCGCGACCACCCCGCGCACGTTACAATTTCAAAATCGGCGCCTGCGGCGGGCTGTTTTGCGTTTGCTCACGACCCCCGGCCCGCGACCGACCCCACGACCCACCGCGACCACCCCCCGCGCACGTTGCAATGTCAAATTGGCGCGCAAGGCGGGCTGGTTTGTTTTCGCTAACCCCCGACCCGCGACCGACCCCGCGACCCTCCGCGACCATGCGGAGGAGAAGGAAGAGGAGGAGGGCGGTTGAGGGAGGAGGGAGGGAAGGGGGAGGGGGGACTAGGGCAAGGACGAGGAGGAAGAGGAGCAGAGGGACTAGGAGGAGGAGGAGGAGGAGGAGGAGGAGGAGGAGGAGGAGGAGGAGGAGGAGGAAGAGGAGCGCCACCGACAAAGAAAGTGAGGGCCACGAAATCCGCAACCTCGATGCGCGCAACGCCCGCGCCCGCCCCCTCACTCTTATCCGCAATTGCCGGGTGCTACGTGCTATTCTCAAGCTGCCGAATTGCTGTCTGGCGCCTGCGGCGTCGGAGTTCACGCCGGCGTCGGCCGCGAGAGTAGCGGAATATCTCAGGCTCTGCTTGCCGCCGTGGGCGTCCTTCCAGGTGGCGCCGAAGCTGTTTGAATTGGGCATGTTCGTGGGTCCTGGGGCGTCTCTGGAGGACTCTTGGAGCGGGGGCCGCAGGACAAGGTGTGCAAGCGGCGACGTCGGTGTTTGGTCAACTGTATCAGACACGTGCCCTCGCTCTCAGTTGCGCGGCGCAGCGCCTCCCTCCCCCTAGACGATTGCTCGACCTGGGGATTGGGGCTTTGGCGTCTGTGTTCCGTATCCCGATTGTCACGTTCAGCGCCGCCGCTGGGTATTTCCTGAGAGAGCGGAATGGCCCGAAGGTCAACCCGATGTCCCAGCTGTGCGCCGTTGCCTTGACGCGGATGGCGATCTGTTTTGTTCCAGAGTTCTCAAGAGTGCCAAAGGTGGTTGACAGACGTACCAACTCATCTGATAATCGTGATCGTTGTCGTCATGCTGTCCTCCCGCGTGCCCGCAATGTGTTGCAAATGTCGAGTTCCCGGAAGATGCGGCAGCTGGCACACGTCATTTTGCCAGTCAACATGTTGTGGATGCAGCTCGCGCCGCCCTCGCTGCCGCCCCTTCGGAAAAAAAAGTGCACCGCGCAGCTTTTCTGGCGAACTGCGCCCTGCCCCCTGATGCAACGCTGCCAGAATTGTTTCGCCATACACTGAAGAACTGGTGGCCAGATCGTGAGATTGAGATTGATGCTGTGATCTTTGGTCCGACCTGAGCACTTCTGAGAACAGTTCCTCCCTCGTGGGCCTGGACCTGGCTGCGCACAGTGGCAGGGGCGTGGGTAACATCGCATCGGGTCCTGAGTGAGAGGGGGTTCGAGCCTGTGTGTTTTAGGATGCCGTATCCATTAAGATCGTCAAGTTCACTATGCCACCTGTCCCCGTCTCTCCGCCGTTACCTCTGTTGTCCTCCAACATGGCGTTTTTTTTAGCCTCGGACACCTCAGCACGCTGGGGATTAAGCACGCTGGCGGACCATATTGCCGTTCATGCGTGTATATAGATAGATAGATAGATAGATAGATAGATAGATAGATAGATATACAGCTATATAGCTAGATATATATATATAGATAGATAGATATATAGATAGATATATAGATATATAGATAGATACATAGATATATATATATATAGATATATAGATATATAGATATATATATATATATAGATATGTAGATATATATGTGTGTACGTGCACACATTTGTATACATATCGCGCCGCTTATGAAGTTATCCATAGATATATGTATATGTATACACGACTGTCTCCCATAACTATATATATATGTATATGCCATGTCTATGGCCGTTCGCACACATATATGTCTTTTAGTGTCGTTCAAAGGCGCCTCGAATAATTTCATCTTGCCGTTCATTCATACATGCAGATACACGCACATCTACACATGCACCTATACATGTATGCATGCATGCATGTATATATGTATACCGTTGTATGCATGCTGTTGTGATCATTTATATGTATACATGTGTATATATAAGTATATCACTTCAAGAACCCCCTCCAGCGTGGAGCCAGGCCCCATCTTCCCATATGTCCGCGGCCAAGGCAGCGCTCCGAAACCTAGTCCGAGGAAGTGCGGGCGCGTAGGGGCGGAACGTCGTCGTCGTCGTCGTCGTCGTGTGCTTCGCTCCTCCTTCTCCTCGATCCTCCTCCTCCTCCTCCTCCTCCTCCTCCTCCTCCTCCTCCTCCTCCTCCACCTGCTCCTCCTGGTGCTCCTTCCTCCTCCTCTTCCTCCTGCCCTCCCCCTCCTCCTCCTCCTCCTCCTCCTCCTCCTCCTCCTCTCCTCCTCCTCCTCCTCCTCCTCCTCCTCCTCCTCCTCCTCCTCCTCCTCCTCCCCCGCCGCCCCCCCCAGAGGAGCGCCCGCCGCCGCCCGCCACGCCGCCGCGTCGCGCTTCGTGCTGGTGGCGCCCGCGCCCCTCGCCGCGCAGGCGCCCCTGCGGCGGGCGCTCCGCCGGCCGAGCGCGGCGCCGCGGCCGAGCCGCCGCGGGTCGGCGGCGAGGGTTCCTTCGGGCGGGTCCTGCCACAGGAGGAATATTCGAGAAGCGTACTCCAGATTTCGTAATAAAAGGGAGGGGGTCTGGACCCTCCAAGACGAGCCATTTCAGTCCCCCCCTGTGGGCGAACCCTCCAAAACATCGCCACCAGACCCCCTCAGGCCCTCCAAGATAGCCTGGAAGAGACCCCCCCCGAAATGAGACCCCCCTCCCTTTATTACGAAATCTGGAGTAGGCATATTCCACAGGAGGAATATATTCCACAGGAGGAGTATTCCTGCGGCAGGAGGAGTATCCCTTCGACGGGAATATGCCACAGGAGGAATATTCCACAGGAGGAATAGTCGAGGCTTCCGTCGGGCGTGTCCTTCCACAGGAGGAATACTCGAGAAGCGCAGGAGAAAGGCTCGAGGGCGATCTGAGGATGTGTGTTCGGCTGCTCTTGGACAGGTTGTGTGGCGGTCTTGAGTCTCGCTGCGAGGGTCCGCCTGCCGGAGGGCGGGCCCGACCGCAGACGAGGTCGAGGCGGGCGGGCTGCGAAGCTCGAGGTCTCCCCGGCATGTTCGTCGGCCCCGGGCGGCCTCCTGGCCTCGGGATGCTCGGGGGCGGCACAGAGGGGGGTCCTGACTAGGGGGGGGTGGATACTCCAGATTTCGTAATAAAGGGAGGGGGGTTTCATTTCGGGGGGGGGTCTCCTCCAGGCTATCTTGGAGGGCCTGGGGGTTCTGGGGACGATGTTTTGGAGGGTTCGCCCACGGGGGAGGTCTGAAATGGCTTGTCTTTGAGGGTCCAGACCCCCTTCCTTTCATTACGAAATCTGGGGTATCATGACGTGGGCCATGATCTTTCCCCAGATTTCATGGCGCCTCTTCTTATTTCAGTGCGCCCCTGGCCCCCCCGCTGGGCCGCGCACGTGCCGCCGGTCATGATCTGCACCCCCCCCTCTTGGACACCCCCCACCAAACCACCCCAACCCAACCCGAAGGCTCAGATTTACCCTCGATTTCCAGTGGGGGGGGGTCGGGAAACATCGAACAAACACATGTGGAACCCTTCCTTACCCCCCCCAACCCGAAATTCGGGTCTTCGGGTTGGGTTGGGGTGGTCTGGTAGGTAGTCATCTTGGACACCCCCCTCCTGGCCTCGGGATGCCTCCCGGCGGCGGCAGGCCTCGCCGAGGGCGCACCATCCTGGGTGCCCGGGGCCGCCCCGAGGTGGGCAGCCCGAGAGGCTGCGAGCCTGCGGGCCTGCTCTGTGTGGTGTAGGAGAGTACTCCTCCAGATTGCGTAATGAAGGGAGGGGGGTCTCATTTCGGGGGGGGTCTCTTCCAGGCTATCTTGGAGGGCCTGGGGGGGTCTGGGGACGATGTTTTGGAGGGTTCTCCCACGGGGGGGGGTCTAAAACTTCTCGTCTGGGAGGGTTGAGACCCCCTCCCTTTTATTACGACATCTGGAGTAGATGGGGTCGGAGGAGCCAGCCGCCTCGTCGCTGCATCGGCGAGGTGGCTCTATGCGGAGTCCCATTCTCTCCACGCCGACGGCCCCGGTGCATCGCCCCAGAGATCCAAAGTATTGAAAACAGCAAGACGGAGGTTTTTCGCAGATTTTGGCCCCCAGGGGCCCTCGCCGGGCCTCGGGACCGTCAAAAAACGACTCAGGATGAAAAGCCGGTCCTGGGGAATGGGTCGAGACTGCCGGGGACCCCGTATTGAAAAAATCACGACGTCGGATCTCTGGGATCGACGTCGCCGATGGATCACCGACGCATCGGCGATGCGTCGCCGATGCTGTGGCGACGCGGCGCGATCCTCCGGCCCCACCACTCCGACCCCACTTGGGTGCCCTCGAGAGGTATGGTCCGAATGCCAGTGGGGACCCCGCAAACCTGCAGCGCCTGCCGATCGGCCGCCGCCGCTTGAGCGGCGAGCCCTGGCGGTGGGGCAGGGGGGACGGGGGCCGGTCGCGCCACGACTCGCGCCGGCGACAGGAGTGCTTTGGCAGGGATGATGTTTGGACGGCGCGCGAATCGCGGCGCACGAGGGGGTCGACGGGGGCCAGGACGAGTACAAATCCATTACAGAGCGTTCCCGAACGCTCTGCAGAGCGTTCCTGAACGCTTTGAGAAGGTCGCGGCGCCAGATTCATCCTCCAGACCCGCCTGATCTCACAGATCCCCGATTCGTCCTCACCCGGATTTATCCTCGTCTTGGCTTCGTCTTGGGGGGCCAGGGCCGATCAGTGGCGTTATCAAGATCAGTATACGTGATTTCCAACGTCTGCCGATCGGCCGCCGCCAGCCGCCGCCAAGTCGGCGGCGCGGGTCGGCGGCGAGGGCGGCGGGGACCTCGGCGGCGGCGAAGACGGCGGGGTCGGCCCTTGACATTCTGTTACCTTTGGCCACGCGCAGAGGGGGGTAGGGGGAAGGGGGAAGGTTTCTTGGAAGCAGCCTGCTTAGAAGGCGTGGGCCTCGTCTGTGGATATGAGGCCAACTCCTTCTAAAAAGCCCTTTCTCCCTCCCCCTCCCCGAGCCACCCTTCTGCGCGCCGCCAATACTTGCCTGGAACAGATCCCCATCCCTAAGATTGGTATCACCCTATCTCGACGCCGATCGTTCGAAGCTGGTCGTCCCAGCGTCGCACCTGTTGTCTGCAGCGGGCGATGTCTTGCCCGGTTGCGGGCCCTCCTGCGGGGGCCTCATGGCCGGTGCCAGCTAACATATAGTTGCCCGGCTAAAGAAAAGAGTTCTCCCCGGTCAAGGTTTTCTACGACGTTGCACGTTCGGATCTCGGGGGGCGACGAGGACGGCGGCGGAGGAGGAGGAAGAGGAGGAGGAAAAGAAGGAAGACCAGGAAGAGGAAGAGGAGGAGGAGGAGGAGGAGGAGGAGGAGGAGGAGGAGGAGGAAGAGGATGATGATGATGAGGAGGAGGTGGGCGA